GGCCAAGAGCACCGTGTCATCAGCTATGAGCTGATGTAAAAGATGATGACATGCGATTGCAATCAATTGTCCTTACCTGTTATTTATTCTGAATTCATGGTTCATCAACCAGGCAGGTGTATTGACTGGCCCAACCCACTGGATTATTTAGGACACTCAAGTATGCGCAAAGGAATGAGGGGTTGTCCAAAGGGTGGACGTGCATGCCATATGTGCGTGGTGTAACACGCGCAGGCACAGCCGCTGTGCTGCAGGTGGTGCCAGCCCTGATCTTGGGTGTGTGCCCTGTTGTCCTTGCTTGCTTTGCCGCTGCGCGAACGGGCCCCTTGGGTGGACCCTAAACCCTAAACCCTGAACCCTAACCCCTAGGGTCACCTTGAGGTAGCCCTCCGGCATCACATACATGCCAGGGGTTGCCCTGACAAGGTCAGGGGCATAAGGCATGCACAGGGGAGTGGGCACCATGCCAGGCTAGGCAACGCCCAAGGCTTGGTAGCCAAGGAGCCCGTGGGGGTGGTCATGAAGGCGTAATTGCAGGGCTGGGTTGTTGAGGGTGCCCAGGTATTAGGATTAGGATTAGGGTGAGGGTATTAGGCCTTGTTGATGACCAGCACACTGCCAAGCCTGTCAAACAGCTTCTCTAGCTCCTTCATCCACAGCTGGCCCTGGGTTTGCTGCATCCCTGAAAAATCTGGACGTGCAGCTGTTGGGGCCGACGACTCTAACCACTTGAGACAAACAACTATATTTACAAAAACCATGCCAACAAATTTCTGGGGGTTCAACCCACTCCCATGGGGGGCCTGCCACGACTTGAAGCCACCCTCAGCAACACTCAAGGCCTCCCAACGAGCCCACATCTCCTCCAATGAGCGCCTAGGGGGGACACTGGGGTGTGTGGGCAGGTGGAGGGGAGGGGGTGGTGCGAGGTGAGGTGAGGGTGGAGGATATTGGTAACTTGGGCATCAGGTTACAGGTATCAAGTAGCCAGTTACTCACATTCTGCCCTGCCTGCCCCTGCCTAGTTGCAGCCTGCCCCGCACACCTCATTCGGCCTCCTCGTCGGTCTCCTCGGCGGCCTCCCCCTCCAGGTCGGGCTTCTTGAAGAACTGCGGCTCCACCAGCATGGCGTTCTCCGTCCCCGTGAGCAGCTTGATCACCTTGTCGCCGTAGCGGCCCCCCGCGCAGCAGAGCTCGTGGTACACCTGCGTGACGGGGTCCGCACGGCATGGGGTTAGGGCAATGTAGGTGGGCACTGGCAGTAGGTGGGCACTGGCCCTGAGCCTGTATCCTCGATGCAGGCAGCTAGCTGGCTGCGCAGGTTTACCAGGAACATGTGTTACCTGTAAACCGTAACCAGTAACGCCCTACCCAGTCTGTCTTACACTCACCAGCAGCAGCAGGTTGGCAAAGGGGGTGGTGCCAACGGGCCACCCGACGCTCGCGGCGTGGCTGCGGCACAGGTTGTACGTCGGCCAAAAGCAGGTGGAGGCCGGCAGCTGCAGCTTGGGGGCGGACTTCTTGTCCTTCTCCTTCTCTGGGTCGGCTCTCTTCATCTCCTTGGGGACGAAGCGGACGGCCCTGTCCCGCCCCACGACCGAAACTGCGCGGTTGCGAATGTATTCATATATTTATCGCGCGTAGAACGCAAAGCCCGCAGCGTATGCACAGCAGCAGCAGCAGCAGCAGCAGCAGCAGCAGCAGCAACGCAACAGCAACACGACACCGCCCCGCTCACGTTGCTTCCTCTGGAAATCCTTGGCGCGGTTGGCCAGGACGGCCGCCCTGTCCAGCGGCCCTGGCAAAGGGGAGGGCGCACGGTGGATGTGCTGTAAGTCGTCTGCATTGCCTGCATTGCCAGCAGTGGGAGGGGGCAAGGGCCTGCACTTGTAAGCTAGGAGATACTGGTAACCCCGGTATCTGCCCACCAGTGACCCACCCCGGGGTTGGTGGCCTGCTCACCAAGGGCCTCCAGGTCGTCGCTGTCCTCCGACCCCGCGGGCTTCTCGCTGCCCGGCGCGTCGTCCTCCTCCTCCTCCTCCTCGCTGCTGCTAGCCAGGTCGAACAGGACCTCGCTGAGAGCCAGGGCGGGCTTCTTGCCCGCGTCCTTGCCCTTGGCCTTGCTGGGCTGGCGCTGCTGCTGCTGCTGCTGCTGCTGCTGCTTCTGCTGCTGCTTCCCCGGTGCAGGCGCTGATGGGCCCGCCTCGTCGACCTGCTGCTGCTTCTGCGGGCCCTTTGCGCTGTGGCCGCGCTTGCTATGGGCCGTTTTGACGTCCGACCCCTCCCCTGCGGTCAGTGGGTCGGGGCATGCACGCGAACCCGACCTCACTGGCGCCCACAAAATCCCAAAGGATGCTACGATTAAGGCTCCGGTGCAAAAACAGCGACAGCAGGCAGCCACTGCCAACCCGTGTATCACCCTACCCCGATTACTAGATACCGAGTAAAAGGTAAAAATGAAGCACCTGGCACCCCCTTGTGCAACACCCGACTCCACCTGCCCAAAGTAAAATATGTCACAACACCCTCTCACCCCTCTTCCGGACCTTGCCCTTAGGCTCGGGGGTGGGGTTGTCCACGGATGGCGCAGGCCGCTCGTGCGCGGCCTTGCCCTTGCCCTTGGCCGCGGGCGCTGATGCCTTGCCTGCACCCCCAGCCTGGCCCTTGGCCTTGCCAGCTACTGTTTCATTGAATGTTATGAGTGGGGACGGATGGAAGGAGGGTAGGGTTTTGGGACATGGGGAGGGGTGGGGACCAAGGAAAGCCAAGCCAGTGTCACGCACGCACGCACGCACACACGCATGCACGTGCGCACGCTCGCACGCACGCTTGCTCGCACGCATGCACACACGCACGCACGCACGCACGCACAATGTTTTCCTCCCCCTCTCTCTGTCACCCTTGACCAAAGATATGGACCACACGCACCCCAAACCACGCTCCGCTCACCGAGTTTGGCCAGCCAGCGTCTCCGCCAGCAGCCGCTCGTCGTCATTGGTCACTGTCGTCTCATCGTCATCCGCCCGTAGGCCCCCGTTC